CCCCGAGCGCCCCCCACAGCCCCCTGTCCTTCCCGCCGCCCCCCAGCCAGGTGGACCCCCCCTTCCACCTGGACCAGAAGCTGGACCTGGTGAACGCGGCCGTCGCCTGCGTCTTCTCGCTGCCGCTCATCGTGCCCAGCCAGAACCGGAAGGAGAGCGCCAGCCTCTACCTGCAGGTGAGCCCCACCCCCAGGGGCGCCCCGACGTCCAGGCCGGCCCCAGCGCTGGCGGTCTCTCCACTGCACTGAGCTGCATTTTAAATTTGTCTAATACGTGTGGGCTGCTTCTGTGGACTTCTTAAAAATATTTTTTTATTGATTTCGGAGAGGAAGGGAGAGGGAGGGGCAGAAACATCAACAATTAGAGAGAATCATGGATGGGCTGCCTCCTGCACCCCCCACACTGGGGATCGAGCCCGCAACCCGGGCCTGTGCCGGGACCTCCTGGTTCATAGGTTGATGCTCAGCCACTGAGCCACGCCGGCTGGGCCACAGCCTCTGTCTCAAGAGCAGTCTAAGGAGGAAACCCGGTTCCTAGGCCTCGCGGACCATAGAATACCAAATCCTCCCGGTTTTTCGAATAGAAGTTCCCTCGATCCAGCGGAACGACTCCCGTGGGGAGGGTCCCGGGGGCTGTGTGTGAGGGGAGAACCCCGACGGGCCCGCCTTCCACTACTTGGCCGTCCTTTGGGGAGGGGCCCCGGTCCAGCCTGCAGGAGGGCCGGGAGGGCTGGTGCTCGGGGAGCCTGGAGTGTGGCGGCCGAGCTGGACCGGCCCCCACTTTCTTGGCCCCTGAGGAGGGCCTGGGGGGTGGAGGGTTGCCCAGGAGCCGACGGGGACACCATGGCTGTCTGTCCCCCAAACCCCACGTGTCCTGTTTGTCAGACGGTCCAGGCCTTAGACGACATGCTGCAGGCCCTGGTGATGGACGGCCGGGACCCCAACATGGCCATGCTGCAGAGGATGCTGGAGGTGAGTGCCAGGAGATCGGACAGGGACAGGGGGTGGGCTGGGGGCCCCTCCGGCCCAGGGGTGGGGAACCTTTTTTCTGCCCAGGAGCCTAGCCCCAAACAGCGCGGCCCAGTCCCTAGCGTACCCCAGGGAGTCCAAATACCCATTTAGAGAGAGTGGAAGGGAGAGGGAGAGGCAGAGAGAAACATCGATGTGAGAGACACACATCCGTGGGTTGCCTTCTGCACGCGCCCCAACCAGGGCCCGGGCCGGGGAGGAGCCTGCAACCGAGGTCGGTACCCTTGACCGGAATCGAACCCGGGACCCTTCAGTCCGCAGGCCGACGCTCTATCCACTGAGCCACACCGGCCAGGCCCATCTGTGTGTCTCTTTGGCCTTCTGTCGTCAGGGATGCGGGCTCAGGCCGAGGCGGGAGGGGCGGTGGACGGAAGGTGCTGAGGCCTCTCCTCCCTCCAGATCATCCTGCCGTGGCTCACGATGTCGGAGAAGGAGCAGGAGCAGAGCCGGGCGGCCTACACCACCTCCCACCTGCTGCGCTTCACCTGCAACTTCCCGGAGCTGTTGGTGAGCGCCGGGCGGGGCCGGCGGCCTCTCTGCCCAGGGGCACCCGGCTCAGCCTGTGGCTCTGAGGGCAGCACCGAGGGCGGGCGGGGCACCGCTATTTCCCCGTGTCATTGTGCCTTCTCTGCTCCTGGGGGCATTGCCCGCGGCTGAGAGAGCCCCGAGGGGCAGACGCGTTGGTGGGGGACCTTGGCCTAGGCCAGCGGTCGGCAAACTGCAGCTTGCGAGCCACATGTGGCTCTTTGGCCCCTTGAGTGTGGCTCTTCCACAAAATACC